AAAAAAGACGTTCACAACACATCTACTTCGACGCCATCTGCTGACGTCGCCACGCCGTTGGACCGCGCACCTTCCCCCCGCTCAACCACCAACACCCGCCAACACCCATCCCGCATGTGCACTAACATCTGCAGTTGAAGGCACACAGTTCGTCGTTTCCTGATTCCACGCGCCAATCCGTCGGCGATCCGCACCCCGCCGCTGCCTTATGGACGAACCCATGTGTCAAATGCCCTCATCTCCATCGTCGTTCGCCACAGGCCCGCTGCCGATCCAGCCGTGTTTTGCGGCTTCAACTGCATTCTTCAGGGCCGCGTTGTGCCCGAACACCAACCCGCAATCAGACCATTCCGGGATGCAATGCGGGTAATCTCCCAGCGTCAGGTGGGCCTTCCCTAGACGATCCAAGACGAGGTTGGCAGTGTGGACGATGTGTCGCCGCTAGTTGAAGATGTAGGACCCCGCTGCTATCATTGTGAGTTTGGCGACCATGGACGCGTAGAACCACGCCTTGTAGTGCGAACGGTCGTTGCCACCACCCATGCGCATGATCCACATGCACGAGCTTAACAATGCTCGAAGACAATCCGCAAGCTGCGAAAACCTTTCCTATTTCACGCGCCCGCCGTCCACCCATTGTCCGCACGAGACTGCATCTGTCCAGCAGTCCGCCAAGCGAAGAACTGTTGCCTCCTGTCGCGCCGCCATGTCGTTGTCTTCCGGCCGGTCCACAATCTTCATCCCCGCGAACCACAGAGGCACGTCCATCTTCATCGCTAACGTATGATAGACGAGGGCAGGGGAAACCACTTTGGACCATTCAAATCCCTGCCAAACTGCTCGTGCGGTGTCTATACTAGCGAAGTCGACGGTGATGTACGACTCTGCACGAGCGAAGCCAGTCGACCTCAACGACGATTTGAAGATCTAGCCGTGGATGGTGCGCAGCACCAGTTTCTCCACGCTACGCGCTCTGCGCAGAGCTGGTTCGCGTGGTGCAGGGTCCTCGATCTTGAAGCGCGACACATCATTCGACAACATTATAAGCATCGACGACGGTTCAACTCCTGCGTCTCCGTTGGCGATGGCGACGAAGTAATCCGCGCAGTCGCCTACCGCCTCCCTCAAGGGTTTTCCCGGGCCTTGACCCTAGAAAGTGTCGCAATCAACCCACAACTTCGACCTCTCTTCGAGATCATTCTCCTTTGCCGCTCCCTTCAACCTCGTAACAAGTGGACGGTCGTCGTCGTCATCGCCCTCCCGCTTTCCATCTCTTCTCCCATCGTCGCGGCGGACGTCGTCGACCCTCCCCTCTTCCGCACCTTCGGTGAGTCCGCTTTTAGTACTTTGATCCGCCACTGCCGCTTGACTGCTGCTCGCCGTCGCCTCGCCCTTTTGCGCGGACGGTGTTTTCCCTCCCCCTGAAGCCCCCGCCTGTTGCAGGGGGAGTGGCTGACGTGGCTGAACCTGGCCTACCACTGCCGGAAGTTGCCTTGGCACGCGCGCCTCAGTGATGACAACCCCTGCCGCCTTCAGGATCCTTGGCAACGTCCCGACAACACCAACGACGATGCTCTGTTTGATAGTGGACAACTCTTCCCTCGAAACCCCATCCCGCCCAAACCCAATTGCATCGCCCCTGCCGTCCCTTGCGCATCCACCATCAGCACTTCGTCTGCCTGAAAGTCGTTTGTGTGTTCGGAGCTCGCCTCGTCAACGCGCTGCCTTTTCGACTTTGGCATGTGGCCTCTGCCTTTTTGGGTTCCCCCCCCTCCCCTACTCCGCCATCTTTCTTGCCCTTCCCTGACGCGCTCCTCGGGGCCATCTCGTCCACAACTCGGAAACAAGGAACACGTGAACGAAGGAGGATGTGGATGAAGGAGCACGTGGACGAAGGCCGCGTAGAGGTCTACGACGGCCACGTGGATGAAGGAGCACGTCGATGATGCGCACGAACGGGCACTGGCCGTGGAGCCGCGACAATGATGGCGACCGAAAAAGAGCACGTGGACGAGGGAGGACGTTGAAGAAGGAGCATGTGGTTGATGAGCCTGAAGGGATACCGGCCGCGGAGCCGTTTCTCCGATGATGGCGGCCAGAAAGGAGCACGTGCTCGATGGGCATGAAGGGGCACTGCCCGCGTAGCCGGAAGTGGAAGTGTGGAGCGGCGAAGTGGATGTGATGGCGTGCGACGACGACTCACTGCGCAGACGCTACCATTGGAGCCGTGGGAATTCAATCAATGCAGTACGGAATGGCACCCGGACTCTCCTTTTGTACATAGCGCGCTCTCGCAGAACACCATGGACACGCCTCGCCGTCCACAACAGCCCGCCCCTTCGCCGATCGTGCACGTACCATTTTCCCCGCCGCATGCTGGTGATCCCTCGCATGGCCAACAACTTATGTGGGCGCGCAGGAGGAACCTGGGGGAGGTCGAAAGAGCCCTCCACCCCCCAAAACTCGAGGCACCCCAGTCCGCCATTTTCCCCTCCCGCTCGAAAAACACACCCTGCCACCTATTTCTTCTCCGACACCCCCAAAGAAGACCATGGCAGATCGACATCCATGCGTGGCAGCAACGCCTCACAACAACAGCCGGTAAACAAAATACAAAATTGGAGGACCTACTGTACAACCGAAGGACGCGCCGTAGGGCATGACAACAATGAATACCCTTCACAGACATCAAACAAATCCACGCTTAAATAAACTGTGCGAGCAAAAATGACCCGCCGTCTCTACACCACCTGCCCATCACCGCACTGCAGCACGCAGGACGACGGCAACGACGATGCTCCAGAACTGCACACGTGGAAATCGCGTGGACGTCAGACATGTGTGGCCGAGCGATGTTAGGATTGCTCGCGGATCGCTTTAGCAATCTCCAGAAGGGGGTTGCACATCATGAAGTTCGCCTGGTCGGCCTTCACGTAGTGCTCCTTCTGCACTTTCAGCCCTCGCTCGAGAATGTCGCATTGCCTCATCAAAATTGAGCACTGCCTCTTGCTCGCGCTGTCCACCGTCGTCGCCATGAGATTCCCGTGCTCCTTCATGACGTCCGCAATCGTGTCGAAGGTCTGCTGTCTTACATTCTTCCGTTTGCCGCCACCGCCGCTGAACGTTGAATCCCTCGTCGATCCCTGATCGTCGTCCAGTCCATCCCCGCATCCCTCACTACCGCCGGATTCATTCCGACCTCCACGTCGGCCGGCCATTTGAACACCTCCAGCCGCACCCATGTCCGCGAGATTCGTGGGGTGTATAGTGTGATCGCCCCTGGACATGGCCGTCATCTCCGAATACACACGCTCATCCATCCGAAAGTCGAACCCCCGCTCCTTCCTCTCCCCCAACGTTAGTGTGAAGAAATTAGGCTTCCCCGATTCTCCCATGAACTTGTGCACGATTTTGAATTGCTGGTACAGGTTGTCCCATTTTTCCCGCAGTCCACGGCCTTTCTACTCGTCACCCCCATCTGCACGAGCCTCTTCTCGACGTCGTCCAACTTTCATGTCTTCGTCTTCATCCTTCTGCTGTTGTGCATCAGGCCGGCCAGATGCAAATCCTGGTCTCTTTTAGCTCGGATTAGAGCAATCATGTGGTCCACAGTCCAAAAATCCCTGCTTTTTGCTCCCTCGCCTGCCGACGTATCTTCCACACTCTTCTTGCCTCTCCGCCCCGCGTGCGGTTCTGTACACTTGTTTATGGCCCTTGACCCTCCCCGCTTCCTCCCTACTGGACGAATCTCCATCTCCCCCTCGTCGTTCTCATTGGCCCCGTCGTCTGCAGCGCAATCTTCGCCCCTTGCACAATCGCAATCGCCGAAGTTATTGTCCGCCCCCACATTAATCTTCGCCACCCCTCTCGTTATGCCGGACGTGCTCGCTTCACGCGATTGTCACCGATGATCATCCCAAACCTTTCGTCCCACGACCTCCGCAGTGGAGCACTCGTCGTCGTCCTGTCGACCGTCGATTGTGCCGCCTGGCGTAGTCGATCCACAAGGAGCCGATCCACTTGTCCTCGTCCTCGACGCGGCCACACCTGCTGCGCCCACTGCCCCCCGCCTTGGCGGAAAGAGTCCACGTTCGTTGCCCGACTGACCAGAACACCAGGCGTGGTTATCCGGACGGCCCGATGCCCTCACCGAAGGCGTTGTGTGGCTGGTGCCAGAAGCTGGGTTCACGAGAACGGTGTGCGTCACGTCCTCGGCACTACCAGACCTCAAGCCGAAGTTGAGATCTACGAGTCCTGCGTCATAACCAGTCGGGGTCCGCCCCTCCAGCAGATCAGTGTACGTCGGCGTCAATGCCTGTCTGCACAGCTGGCTCCCCATCCAATCCTGAGTCGAAACGCTGCCCAGAGGAACCGTTGAGGATCGGGGGTCGTCCCCCTCGTCGTCACTCGGAGGCAACGGAATCTCGTGGGACGGCAGGTGGCTGTACAGCGTTGGGTCGTACAGCCGCCTGCCGCCTTCCGTACTGGTGCAACGCTGATGTGACGACCCCCCAGCCCGTACGGGCAGCGTGGTCTTCGTTTGTACCTTCTCCATCTTCCCACCCCTCTTCGGCGTTCGCCGCGTCTGTTTCCTCCCAGGGACGCGACCGAGGAAGCAGATAGGAAAGACGACAACGGCAAGCAGCAGCACAGTGACGAGCAGCAGCAAAGGGAGCTGCGGTATAGGTCAGCCATGAACGACAGGGCAGCCGAGACAGAACACGCACTTGCGCTGTTGCAATCGCGGCGACCGGAGACACACGTTGCGAGAGGGAAGACGCCAACGTACGAAATTGCTGCAAGCACCGGCTGGGGGAGCACGCTTACAAAATCCGTATTTCCGACTGTTGGGAAGCCCGCGGGAATGCCAGGACCCCACCAGGAGCCGCCCGAAGACGTCCGACGCTCGCCACGGCACCACCGTGGGGCCGCCCGACGAACCGACAGGGCCGTACCGCCAATCACCGCCAACGGTAAAACGACGAGGCCGTTGGTGGACGTTTTGGACGAGGACGGCCCGCGATGTCCGTCTTCCGGCCGGTGGACCACCACTGGACCACCTTCGACCTCCATTTTCCCTTCTGGACTCGCCGCCGACACCCCGATAATCGCGGATCCTCGGGGTCCAAAGGACCTCGCGAGGTCCCTTGGAGCCGAGGACAATTTGGCTGGGAAATCCTCGGAGCCCAAGGATTTGTCCTCGGAGTGTTTTCACATTTCTGTTCCGAAAATCGGCTTCGAGGACAGGTGGAACGACGATGGAATCCTCAGAATCGCATCCCCGAGGAGTGTCGAACGACGCCCATATATCGGTGTCCGAGAGGTTAGACGAAGGTCTATCAAGGGGTAACGCCCTAACCAAAAATAGACATGATCTGTGAAGCATGAAGATGAGGGGTATTTTCGGGGTTGGGGGGGGGGAGCGGGGAGAAGAAAAGATGAGGGTATGCTCATCCTAGTGCAATGCCTGAGACAGGTGTGTGACTTGCGGGGGACATTTTTTCACTTGTTCCCCCCCTCAAATTCTTTCATCTTTCACGACCTACCTAACAGCTATCTAAAAATAGACGTGATCTGTGAAGCATGAAGATGAGGGTATGCTCATCCTTAGGCTAGTGCAATGCGTGTGACAGGTGTGTGACTTAGGGGGGACATTTTTTCCCTTTTTTTCCCTTTTTTTCCCCCTCATTTCCTTTCATCTTTCACGACCTACCTACCAGTTATCTACCTCGCTTAGTGAAGGGAGGTTTCATCTCTCGTGGAGGGAGGTAATTGCATGTTTGCCCCTTGCCCTAGTGGCTTAGGGTGCAGGGTTGGGGCCTCTGGGGCCCGGCTAACAGAAGGACTGAGCATTTGCCAGTAGGTGCCGGTCCCTTTTCATCATTCCCCCACCCCCGTCGAGTAACAGCAGACCCACCCACCACACTCACAATTCAAAAGGTGGGGAATAGCCAACACTCTCAGACACACCACACTCACAATTCAAAAGGCCCACCCACCACACTCACAATTCAAAAGGCCAACACTCTCAGGCACACCACAAACAACCCACCCACCACACTCACAATTCAAAAGGTGGGGAATAGCCAAAAACAGAAAGAAGTCCGGTCAGTGTGTGAATGACCTTCCTGGGAAGACTTTTTTAAGCAGTGGGCATGCTCCTATCACCTTCATTAACAGAATGACCCAGCCATCGGGATTCTTCCAAAAAAAAAAAAAAAAAAAAAAAAAAAAA